GCAGCTGTCGCATCCGGAAATCATACCGACCGAACCACAGAGGAAAGACTCGGAGGTGTCGCATCAGAGTCAGCTCAGTCAACATTTCCAGCACAGCCAGCACTCTCAGAAACCAAAGCTGACCAGAGAGGACTCGTGCGCCTCCGACCACTTCCCCGAGGAATCGTACAGCAGGAGGGACTCGTACGCGCAGTCCACGAGGAAAGACTCGTTCTCGTCGGCCACGCAAGAAATGTTCAAAACGCTGCTTACTAGAACAGACTCGTACCAAAAGAGAAGCAACTATGGGCAGAACTTTAGTACCCCTCAGCCGATTTCCAGGGCTGAGAGCTATCAGCGTGGATACTTCAAGGACCAAGAATCTATAGAGGAACCGAAGGTCAGCTTGAGTAACGTGGTGAACGACGACTTCAAGATGAAGGACGTGTCTCTTGAAAGGTAATGTCTAGGTTTCAAACACGTTTGAAATTATTTGAACATATCAACATACTTATTCGACCAACACGATTACCCACGAAGGTCCGAGCCAGGCGATGAAGCAATGCCTCCTGACTCTAAAGAGGACTCGTTAGTGGATACGTGCAAAACTACGCCGCTGATGTCGCACACCGACAGTCCACGCGGTAAGATTAGATATAGTCTGTTCTGTATTTTACTGATTCACATTACGTGAATAAGGTTGCGCATTAATGTCGTTCGTCTCCTTGCTTTGCAGGAAGCATAACGAAACAAGCGTCCTTGGAAGAAAGTGTTCAAATGGATACTCCACCGAGGAGTCCACCGGAACCACCGCTAGACAAGGAGCTCCTCGAGATGATTGGAGCTGCCCCGATACCTACGCAGCTGAAAGAACGACCGGAAATGACGGCGAGGCAACGGTGGCATTGGGCGTACAACCAATTAGTAATGCAGCTGCGGGTAAGTAAATCACACTTTATTCTAAAATTCATTATCGCATTAAATTTGAAACGAACTATTGCCACATGGCAGAGCATTAATTCCCTCAAGACATAGAAATTTTCACATCGATGAAATCGAAGTTCAATAGGTAATAAAAATCAGCAAACGAATAGCTCTACGCTTGCCACCGATATAGACGTGTAGACCTCGAACGAAATAAAAATGACTCTCCGTCTCGCTGACGGAGACTCGCTTGTCAATAACCTCACTGGCGACCTTACGAAAAATGTAGCGTTTCATGCTGGCATCCCGCATTTCTCCGCTAGTCCTTCGCTGGTACAACTGTGGCCTTGTCAGTCATTATCTTCACGGTTGCACCGATTCGTCGCGTACGTTGATCGATCTCGAGATCGCATCTACGGGTTCTGTACTTTATCACCTGCGTGCAACTCGTGCCGTTTTGTTGTCGATTGGAAGGTTGCCACGAGTGTGATTCTTATCGGTAGCACTCGGGACAACGAGAGACGATAAACCAGTTGCGCAGGTTATACATATGCAGATGAGCTTGAATCGACGAATGATTTACGATCTGGCGCCGAGGCGTTAGAAACAAACGAATCTCTTAATTCTCGGTGAACGGTTACATGGGCGAAGTATGCAAAACAGTTTTAAGTATAAATTGAATCAGTTCAAATCAATTCGATAATTTCGTGAATACTTTCAACGGTGAAAATCTGAATGATGAATCCCATCGTGTGAAGGAAAACCTCGTCGATCACGAGCGAGCATTGCATGTCCCAGAAAGCATAATTACGCATAAATTACGAATAATACGTGTGGCGGTATCACAGTCGGCCTGTTATCTGTGCCAGTCGTTCTAAACGAACAATGAATGTTCATTAACGTTTTATCGGGAACCTTCGGAAAGAAATACGAGATTATGTCCGCGCAAATACCCACACATAGACACACACAACGCAGAGAGGAGCGCAACCATTATTTTGAACGAGAGGCCAGTTTCAATAGTAAATTCAATGGCGATTATTCGACGAGTCTCTCTTTTCCTAGAAACGGGAGAAAGGGAG